ATGCTGTGTGCTCCCCGAGCATGGGAAGGCCCCAGAGCCGGCTGGGGCGCAGCGGCTGTGCTAGAGACCTACCAGACCCACCAGTAAAACTGGGGCAGAAGGAGGCGTGCTGCATCCCCACCCCTGCGTGTTGCTGATGCTTTTGAAGCCAAGACCAGGCAAAGCAGACCATAGGACAAGAGGCTTTCTCCCTTCAGCAAAGTAGCAGGATCTTGATAAGATGGGAAACGGGTCCAATCTGACAGTGACCATCCCACTGGAGCCTCGGCAGGGAGCAGGGGAGGACATGAATCCCCCATCACACACAGCACGGCAATGCCTGAGCCCCCCACACCTCCCTGGGCCCCCATGTTTAACTTGCTGATCATTAGCAGAAATAAATGAACAATAAGGAATTAAATATTTAATCAGGCTTAAATCTGCACAAAGCAACAAACCTCCCTCCCAAAACCTAAAGAGAAAGAGAGCGGGTGCCGACAGCCTGATGCTCGCTGTGGATTAGCGTGTGCGTGAGCAAGTGCCGTTTCCCTCCCGTCACTTGCAATAGCTAATGTTACACTCTGAGTAAAGAGACAAATAAAAGCAAACCTGATTAAATTATATGAAGCTTACACAACTGTAGTTGCTTTATTTAATCTCTTTTGGGGTTTGGGGTTGGTTTTTTTTTTTTCTCCTTTGCAACTTTAACCCCTTGTTTCTCAGGCCAGGCTGAGTCCTCTCTCGAGTGGGATGTTTTGAATTAGGAGCTAGAAGGGAATGAATTCACACCCAGACCCCTATGGCCAATGCAAAATTGCTCCTCTGATACCCTTTTTGATACCCGTTCCACCCCTCTCTCCTTTGGGAAAACCCGTAAGAGCAGGAGCAGAGGTGAGCAGAGAGCCAGGCATTCGCACAGACAGGAAGGGCTGTGCCCCAGGGAGGGCTACGCTCACGCCTGCTGCGGCTCTGAGCATCCGGAAACCCGAGCTGCAAAGGGGAAATCCATGGAAACAGGGTCCCCGCTGCACTCCGGAGCTGGGATTAGGGACCAGGGAA